GAAGTTCTAGATTCACACCAGATGTCTGTTCCCGAGAACTGAAATGAAAGCTCTATGAAGACAGGGATCTTTGACACTTTTATACACTGCTGCATTCCTAGCAACAAGCAAATAGTACGTACTGAGTAAGTACTTGCTAAATTGAAGAAACAATGATACAGCGGACCCAGGATTTGAAGCCAGGCTTTCTGACTTCTGAAGTTGACTACTCTTTTAATTCTACTAGCCTTCAAAACAGAACATCCTGCTTTCTGATTGGCTAATCTAAAAGGAATTTTCCTGCCAACAAATAAGGTGAAGGAAAGGTAAGTACTGTTCAATAGGTACAGCCACAAGATCATGGAGCTATCTACAGCTCGACACAGAGCAAGCATGGTAAACATATAGGAATGATTTTTAAAAATGACATTTCATGCTAACTCTTTCCAAGGTTAGTGATTCTCTTATTTGCCAACAGAGAAACAAATTTTTGTCACTCTAAGGCAAAATGATTCAAGATCCTAAAAAAATAAAAAAGACCCTGAGGTCCTGGATGGTGCAAACAGTTACCACTTGACTACTAACCTAAAGGTTGGCAGTTTGAAGTCTCCCAGCAGCGCTGCAGAAAAAAAGACCTGGTGATCTGCTTTGGTAAAGATTACAGCCAAGAAAACCCTATGGAGCAGTTCTACTCTGTAACAGGTGGGGTCGCCATGAGTCGGAATCGACTCAACGGCAGCTGGATTTTTTTTTTGGTACTGGTTACATATAAATACATATAGATATAAAATATAAACTTCCCTTAATCATGTAAGGAAAAAAGTTTTGGTTAAAAAAATAATCTCATCTTGTCTGTTCTTTCTCCTCTCCCACTGTGAAGAGATTAGACAGGTTTGTGCCCCAGAATGGGAGAAATGCAGAGGGTAACGCCACCAAAGTCAGTTCTTCTGCACCCAGAGGGTGATAGGCCTTACTTCTGGTTCTGAAATTGTTATTTTCTTTCCATTCACCACCATTCAAATAATATTAGTCACAGCTAGATAATTTCAGGACAGAATTGGACAGATGATAATAAAAGCCTCACAGGTTAAATCAGGCTGACACTGATACCATGTGCCCTTATCTATTGCTACCTCTGATTACTAAAGCAAGTTAAATGCCCCATTTCTGAGGGCTAATATTGATGAAAATTAACATATTGCAACGGTAGTAATACTTCTCTTTCCTACTGTTGTGGTTGTTTACGTGCTGTCAAGTTCATTCCGACTCATGGCGATCCCGTATGTTACAGGGTAGAAATGCTCCATAGGGTTTTCCTGGCTGCAGTCTTTACAGAAGCAGACTGTCAGGTCTTTCTCCCGTGGAGCTACTGGGTGGTTTCGAATCGCCAACCTTTCGGGTTAGCAGCAGAGTGATTAACCATTTGTGCCACCAGAGCTCCTTTCTTTCCTATTAAATATCTTCTTACATGCTTGTTGCATGAGCACTTTCAACATGGGTACAATATGTCCTTTAACTCAGGTCTTCATAAGTAGCTTGCTCACCCATTGATCCCCCCTTAAAGGCAGCTTTTTATTTCCTTCACTGGGTCAACAGAATTGACACATCCTTCTTGTATGGTGAGGTTACACAGACAGATCCTAGGAGGAGGTGAAAGTACAGAAAGAAGTCACAGCTGTTCTTCCAGCCACATCTATTAATGTCCTCTAATACAGAAATTCTGTGAAAGAATCACATTCTTCACTCATCCTGTAAATCAATTGTGTAATACAATTCCAAATGTCCTCCTAAAAATATTTTCCCAAGTCAGTGAATTACACCTTCATTTTTTTTTTCTTTATACTTCAGAACTGTTTTTCTTCTTCTCCTTTTTTTTGATATAAACCAATATAGTTTATTTCTTCATTTCATTGTAACTCAAAATATTTCAGGTTTCTGATTTCATGGCAATTCTAACAATTCTATAAATAGGTCCCTACAAACACCAAAATACAAATGATTCTGATTCTTCAAAATTACCTTCTCTTCTGTGAACATAACTTTAATACAAAAAGAGTTAGTTATGATAAATAAAATGTCATATAGCTGCCACAGGGGGAGGGGGAGCTCTATAAAATGATGTTGATGGAGAATAATCTGTTTATTAAATTAAAACAAAAGCCCATTGTGGGTATTATTCTATTACCTGTATTTTCTAAGAATAAGAAAATACGTCCAACAATTAAGAAATGGTTAAGTAAATTATGATATATCCTTCAGTAGAACATTCACACAGAAATTAAGACAGTCAAAAAGCTCACGGAATAACATGGGAAAAGATGGATACAAAATAGTTTTGAGATTACAAACCTACTACTGGATTTCGACTCATAGCAACCCTGCAGGACAGAGTAGAACTATGCCACGGGATTTCCTAAGCTGTAAATCTTTATGGAAGCAGACTGCCACATCTTTCTCCCATGGAACGGTTGATGGGTTCAAACTGCAGCCGAATGCTTAACCAGTGAGCCAACAGGGCTCCCTTTTTGAGATTACAGGTAAGTAAAATATGCAAGGCTCAAAAATCTGAAGCAGATAAGCACAGTTATAATAATTCTGTTTGTTGTTGTTCTTAGTTGCCATTGAGTCAATTCCATCTCTTGGCAACCCCAGGCATGCAGAACAGAACTGTTCCATAGGGTTTTCAAGGCTGTGACCTTTTAGAAGCAGATCGCCAGGCCTGTCTTCCGAGGCACCTCTGGGTAGGTTCGAACCACCAACCTTGTGGGTAGTAGTCAAGTGCTTAACTGTTTGTGCTACCGTGTTTGAAAGATGAAATTAGGAGTTTTCTTTCTCTTCACTTTTCAAAATGTTATTTCTCCAATTATAAAGGAGTAAAATAAATCTAAAGAATTTTAATGGTAATAAAATGAGACTACTACTAATAAAATGTGAAAGAACAAAAAGGGTGCAATATTAAATGGGAAAACAAATGTTTATTTGCCAGTTTCACAGGCATATCACCATCTTACACATTAACAGTACTGGTGTCTTCCCTTACACTATCTTAAGAGTCTCCCCAACATCCTAACAAATACTAAGCTCTTCCCTGCACACAACAAGTTTAAAAAAATTTTTTCACCACAATGTACATAGAGGAGAGGCTTTTGCCCTATAAAAGAAATTTTATTATTCCAGCAACTTAAGTCCTTAGGACAAAATCTAAGATGAACCTCAAGCTTTTACCACATTCTATCCCTAAGACAGAGTGCTACAGTCTCCTATTTCTCTAACACAGCAGGACTATGTTTACAGAGAAAGTAAGTCTAACATGAAAAGATAACTCACGAGTCCAATATTCATTGCATTCCTTAAACCAAGAGAAATCGAAATGTAAGCAGACAAATGGTGAAAACAAGCTAAAGTTACCAAACATTCAGGTTCAGTTTGTTTAAAGTGAGAACGTTTGTTCAAAAAAATATTAAATTTGCTAGTGGGGCAAGGACTGCACGGCAGAAAACAAGTTTATTACACTGAGAACATAAGAACCTGTCAATATTACATCAAATAAGGAAAAATCCATTATAAATCTCAATCAAAATGCCAACTATTCGTGTAAGTTTTTTTCTATGAATAGACAATATTCTATATATTTTTTTAAAAATTAATAAAGGCTATTATGGAATAACCATTAGAACTTTCATCTAATAAAATTAAAAATTTGGAGGGTTAATAAAACCTTTTTTAAAGGAGATTGCTGGTGAGTTGATTAAATACAGTTTCAGGAGAATGGTGAAAAGAAACAAGCAGCACCATTCTGTCAATGAATATTGAATGAATGCCAACTACATCCAGGCATTTTGGGAATAGTGACGAATACAAGACGGAGATAGTAGTCTACTGGCTTCACAGAGCTGACTGCCCACTAGGAAAAAAGCATGCCAACAACAGAAATACAACAGGACAATTCATTCAGTCAGTCATTCAGTTGACAAACACTTATTGAGTGCCGACCGTGTGTCAGACATCACAGGAAAGGTTGGGAAGCATAGTAAGAGTGAAAAAACAAATTGAAAAACTGTCCTCATGAAGCTTTCAATTTATATAGAGAGGTAAGTTTTATTCAACAGATCATATAAGTAACCTAAAATCACAGCTATGTGAAGAGCTAAGAGAGCTAATGACAGGTAAATGCACAATAAGCAAAGGGAACCAGAGACAGGATTATCGAGGACGGCACAGAGTGGTCAGAGAGGGCCTTTCAGAATGTGTAATGGTGGAGCCGAGACTTGGGGTATGCATATAAGAGAGGATGAGATTCAAAAAAGGCACCTATGTACTGGGCGATGACAAGCAGTTCACTGTGGTGGGAATAATAATATGGCAAGAGATGACACTGGACAAGCAGGCAATGACCAGGGTGCTATTACAAAAAAAAACAAAGTTACTGTCGAGTTGACTCCAACTAATGACGACCCCATGTGTTACAGAGCAGAATTGCTCCACAGGGTTTTCTTGGCTGTAATCTTTACAGAAGTAGATCATCAGGCCTTTCTTCCGCTGTGCCACCCAGGGACCTAGTGTATTACTGTTGCTCTTGTTGTGTGCCATTGAGTCAATTCTGACTCATAGTGACCCTGCAGGACAGAGCAGAACTGTCTTATAGACTTTCTTATGCTGAAATCTTTACCAGAGCAGATCTATAGGTCTTTTCTCCCATGAAGCAGCTGGTAGGTTCGAACTGCCATCCTCAAGGTTAGCAGCCAAGCGCTTAACCATTGTGCCACCAGGGCCATGCTATGGCCTTTAATTGTGTTAGTCGTTTTAAAATGAGAGAACCTAGAACATGTGTTTGTACTAAGGTGATAAAGTTAAAGACATGACAAAGTTTCAGGGGTTATAGGGAAAGTTTGTTTAGAACAGTCATTAAGTGTAACAATAATTTGAAACTAACCTAGAAATATAAAATACAACGTGAAGCTCTTATAGGCTTTCATAACAATATAAGATTTTCCTTTTCCCATCATGAGGTACAAGCTTACCCCTATGATACTCAGTCCTTTAAAGTAGTCCTGACGAGGCTGGGCTTGAGGAACACAACCAGCTAGCACTACTTTCTTGTTCTCCTCTTGAGCTTTTCTAGAAGATTGAAGAAAAAACAGTGAGAATTCTTTTGCTCACAAGCGTACCCTTGGAAACTGATGTTGGTACACATAAGTTCTCCAAATAATAACAGACCCACTTAACATGAAACAAGATTTCCTTACAAACACTTAAAGAAAACTCATTATAATAAGATTTCTATGCTATTTTTCTGTTTATCATACCATTAAAGAACACAATAGCAGTCCAATCTGATAATGTCTTTCATTATCTTCTCATTACGAAAAAACATTTTTACTTATACTTAAGGAAATGAATCATTCCTGAAAACCACATTTTCCAGAAGACAAATTAACCCTTCAATAAGTTCTTTATTTTAAATAGCAATGAAAATAATCCTAAAACTTACTACATTCTCTCCTAGTTTTTTGTCATGTATAAAAGTAAAATATACGTATTAAAAAAATTGAAAACGAGCAAAAATATAATACCTCATATGCTGGAAATCAGCACACCTCCTCAGAGACTACCTAGAGTTACTACTTGTTTATGCTTACTTCTAGACCATCTCTCAATGTGCAAGCATACATGTGCAAACAGACCTGCATTCATATATATTTACACACGCTTATACATGTATGTCACACTATTTATACACAAAGATAAAACTCTACATTTTGTTCTACAACTTGCATTTTTTAAATCTAACACATCTTGTACACCTTTGTGTCTTTACCTAGAGAATAACTTTATCCATTTTAAACATAGTATTCTATTACCATAACTTAACCATTCTTATTCTGATAGGCATATTGGTTATTTCTATGTCTTCAATATTACAAATGGCTTTACAATGAACATCATTTGAACATTTGAGGATTTCAGAACATGTCTCTGGATTATAGAAACCTAGATATGAAATCTAAGCTTAGTTGTCTAATTACTTCCTCAGCATAAATTCTAAGAAGCAGAACTGCTGGATCAAAGGTATACACATCTGGTTATCTTACTAAGCACTTCTTTACTTACGAGGGAGTTGGAATGCATTTTTATGTGGATATCATTCATTCATTCGAGCATGGGTATATGCAACAAACATTGATTTTGTGCTAGGAGACTAGTGAACAAAGCAGAGCTTATATCTATTCCTAGAAACTAGCCATGTCATTTGCCCATTTTAAAATCAAATTTTCAAGTCTTCAATTATATTTCATCAAATTATGTCAGTTTTGGGTTTTTTTTTTTTTTTTTTGGTTTTGTTTTTTTAAATGCTTTTTTACTTTTATTGCTAGATGTACGGATACCAAATTTTATGTACCAAAGTGGGTTTCTGGAACAGACTCAGAAAGTTGAGGGTCCCAGCAGCCAGGTTCCTGGAAGCGTGACTTCTATATTACACTAGTATGAAGTGAAAATCTCTAAACCTGGCACGCTTTTTTGTTTTTGTCAACTTTTTCAACAGCACAAATTCAGAACTGGAAGCCAACAAAAAAAATTAGGGTTAACAGGACTAGCTACGTGTGATCAACACTAATTACCTCAAATCTTCTGGGAAGTATGCAGAGAATAATTAAATGAATGAAGAGGCAAAGTATGAAACACGAGCTTAACAGCACTTATGTTTCATTTCAATTACTTATTAGAGCTCTTGGATATAATTTTTCCACTTAGAATCCTAAAAAAGCTTGTTAACAGAACTAAAAAAAAAAAAAAAGAAAAAACTGACTAATAGACTACACAACATATCCAAGAGAATTATTGCCTAGCTCTGCAACATGATTTTACTTTTTTTGATCAGTACCAAGCACATCATTGCACACAAATACTTGTAGTAAATGTAAAATACCTTACCAAATGAAAAAAATCTCCATTTTCATTAACAATCTACACAAGGAACTAACAACTGGTTTCTTCAAGAATGTTATCTACAACACGTAAAAGCACTGTCAAACATCTAAGGAAGACCCTGAGATCACTAATAATTCAGTCCAAATAAAGCCTGCTTCCTGTAATTCATTCAATGACTTAAATATTAAACACGTTCAAAACATTATAGCGAGTGTTTCAGGGAACACAGTAAAGATGGAGATGTGCCCCTTGCACTCGACAAGCTTATGGTTTATAATGGATGAGATGTAAAACCCTACAAATAATGCAACATACAGTAAAATGCCCTTAGTGACAGAGATGTACAGGTTACATACCATGGAAAGGAAAAAGAATATTCTGACACAAAAAGATAGGGAGAAGTATCATGAAGAAATATGACAGGATTTTGTGGGCTGACAGGAATAGGAGAAGGTGGAAATGGAGGCAAGGAAAGTTCCACGTAGTTGTTACAGCATGGACAAAGACAATGAGGTGGAAAAGTAGGGGGAAAGTATTTCATTAATAAAAAGAACTTCTGTAAAAGGGAGTCAGGGCTTATATTGCAGAGGGAGGCTTAAGGAACAGGCTCAAGAGGCTATATTTAGTTTAGTGGGTGATGGGGAAATCTCTGATGTTTTGGTGGCAGAATGGTCATAGAGTAGAGACAAACTCTGAGAATGTGACTCTGGTGGCACAATGTAAAATGAAATAAAAGGGGAAAAAGAGGCCAAGAAGTGGGAAAACTAGTTTAATATCATAAGTGAAAGGATGTGAAGAGCTGAATTCGTGCGGAAGGTAAAAAAAAAAAAAAAAAAAAGGAAAGAAGATCTTTTAAAAGGGAGATTAATTCTCTTGATAGAATATATCTGGGCACTCTGAAGAGGAACCAAAGGTGATAACAAGGTTTTGAGTGTAAGGCAGGGATCAGCAAACTTCTTCTATCAAGGGCCAGAGAGTAAACACTTACGGTTTTGCTGGGCATAACGTCTCTGTTACAACTGTATTTAGTTCTACTATTATAGTGCAAAAACAACCACAGACAATAATTACACAAACAGGTATGGCTGTGTTCCAATAAACTTCCTTTAAGAAAACAGACAACAGGCAAGACCTAGCCAAAGGGCCATAGTTTCTAACCCCTGGATTAACGGAATAAAAGAATAGGGGTGCCATTAACTGTCAGGAGAATCTGGCTGAGTATTGGGATGTTGTTTTTAGCTGCCATGATGGAGTCGGCCCCTGACTCATGAAAAACACAAACATGTTGGAACAAAACACTGGCCTGGCCTGCACCATCCCATGTATAGTTAAAGATCGGACCATTGTACCATACGGTTTTCATTGGCTGATTTTCTGAAGTAGATCACCAAACCTTTCCTCCTAGTCCACTGTAGTCTGGAAGCTCTAAGGAAACATGTTCGGCACCACAGCAACACACAAGCCTCCAGTGAAAGACAAGTAGTAGTTGTGCAGGAGGTGCATTGGCTGGAAATTGAACCAGGGTCTCCTCTATGGGGTCGCCATGAATCAGAAACAACTTGACAACAACTAACAACAACAACTCCTACTTGGAAGGTGAGAATTGTGCCATTGATTCACCACTGCCTGCGTGAGTATCGGGATAGAAGGTAATAAATTCAAATACCTTAAAAACAAAAACAAAAACAAAAACACCCCACTGCTGTCGAGTCGATTACAAATCATAAAAACCAAAAAAATCTGTTGCTGTTGAGTCGATTCTAATTCATAGCCTACCCTACAGGGCAGAGTACAACAGCCCCATAGTTTCCAAAGAGCAGCTGGTGGATTGGAACTGCCAACTTTTTGGTTAGCAGCCAAGCTCTTAACCACTGCACCACCAGGGCGCTGACTCATTAAAAAAAAAAGAAAAAAAGACTCGTTGCTGTCAAGTAGATTCCGACTCTTAGCGACCCTACAGAGTAGAACTGTACCATAGAGCTTCCAAGGAGCAGCTGGTGGAGTACAACTGTGGACCTTTTGGTTAGCAGCCAAGTTCTTAACCACTGCACCACCAGGGGTCCTCTGACTCATAGCATCCCTAAAAAACAAAATAAAACCAAACACATTGGCATCAAGTTGATTTCAACTCACTGCAACCCTACAGGACAGAGTAGAACTGCCCCCTAGGGTTTTCAAGACAGTAATCTTTACAGAAGCCGACTGCCACATCTTTCTCCTGAGGAGTGGCTGGGGGGTTCACACTGCCAACCGTTCAGTAAGCAGCCGAACACTAACCAAGTGTGTCCTATAGCTACCCTAAACCATTGTCGAGTTGACTCTGACTCATAGCGACCCTATAGGACAGAGTAGAACTGCCCCATACAGTTTCCAAGGAATGACTGGTGGACTCAAACTGCCAACTTTTTGGTTAGCAGCCAAGCTCTTAACAACTGTGCCATCTGAAGTTCCAGTAATGCCCATCAAGTCTCTGGAAGTGCGCATTGGCCACTGGCAATGAAGGGGGCTGTAGATTCTGGAAGTATATTCAAAAGTGATAGTTCATGATAGTGGGTCCAACAATCCCTAAGGATGTGGAGAGAATCCAATTGAGTACAAAATTTTAAGGTTCTTTAAAGCTATAGCAATACTTCCCTAAACTAAAAGTAATATGAGAAACAAAAAGAGGTAACAATACTACCGACATCAATACTATCAACAACAATCATAATCATGGGTAGCATTTATATGGCACTTCATCAAGGAAACCATTATGTAGTTCTGTGACATATTTGAAAACAGTACAGTCAATATATGACAATGCAGAGAAAATGTTATAGTGTCATCAAATAAATCTTAGACTGGGTCATAAAATCAGTCCAGGGTGATTTTATGAACACCAGAAAGTTAAGAGAAAGAGTTCAAAATAGATATGCTTGATTAAATAATATATTAAATATTATTTCATCCTTATATCGACTATGGCTTATAAAATGCTAGGAAAAAACAGAAATATAATCTAAGCCAAAAATTATAGTCCAGTTACATAATATTAATGCCACATATTATATGTGACCAAATAAAATTGCAAAAGTTTTATTTCCTAAACAGTACTCTTGTTCTTAACATTCTCTTCTAAATCCTGTTCTTTTTGTTTAATAACCTTTGTTCAGATTAATAAAAGCCTGAAAAAAATTTTTAGAAAGATA